CGTCAAGGGTGAAGTTTGACCTTCCCCTGCCTTCTGCGTCCCCTCCCTTCCGGCCGGTGCCAGGGACTGCCTTTCTCATTCTTTCTCCCTCAGTTCACAGGAAGTCTCCTGCCAGGTTGGATGACTCCCCAGAACAACAATGGATGTTGCTCTATTTCAGGACTTACTAAAAATGGCTAAACTATTTATGAAGCTGGGACACTGCAGCAGAAGAATGGGGGAACAAAAACCCTAACTTTCTCCTCTGCAAAGGCAGAGAGAGTTGCCAAGGAACTTGATTTCCTGCATCTGTGAAACGCGTGTTTCCGGAGTCATTGGCCTTTTTGTTTTTTTGGTGTTTTTTTTTTTTTTTAATTGATTAAGGCTAATAAATAACCCAGGGACAGTTATCATCTGTTACCAAGCCCCTTTCATCTATGGCCCGGGGTGTTTTGGGGCTGATTATCACCCTGAGCAAAAAGTACGGAACAGGTGGAGAAAAACAAATGTAAGAAAATATACCAAACTGTTCATTAGTGGTTTGGGTGGAAGATTCTTATCTCTATACTCTTACATTTTCTAGTTTGTGTCTTTTTTTAAAAAAAAGTTGTTACGTTGAGGTAGCTATTTCTGGGGGATAACCCCTCCCCCCCAACAAGCCCTTCTCTCCTGGGAATTCCTTATCGCCCACCCAATTCCCAGGGAAGAGTCCCAGGCAGCCATGTGTATATGGGCCAGGTTTTAATTCAAATGCTACCCCTTCAGACACTTTCCAAACACCCACCTAAAATACGCCCTCCCTTCCCCCACCAACTCATTCTGTTTTGTTTTATTCATAGAGATTATCCTATCAGCAATTATTTTACTTTCTTGTCTAACATTTTTCAGTCTATTGTGTTTATTTCTGTGTCCCCAGGACCAAGAATAGTATCTGATGTACAGTCCTCACTCAACAAAATATCCACGGAACAAATGAAAAAGTCCCATGTGACCCCCATCTGCCTGGCCAGAGTTGACAGGACCAGGGAGAAGACCCTGAGCAAAGCAAGGCCAGTCAGAACATTTCTGTCTGGAATTTGGAACTGTTGTGGTAACACGTGGATGTGGAATTTGCAGGGTGGCCATATTCTGGCTTCTGGGCCAGAGAAGGAAAAATCTGGATGAGTGAGAGAAGAAGGCATGTGTGCAAAGCAAGAGGGACCTGGTCCCACAGCCTGCCTGGGCCTGCTGGGTTTCAGCCGTGGGTTGCATCACCTTAATAATTAAGTTTTGTGTTTGGGGTTAGGCCAGCTGGAGTTGGTGCCTCTTACCTACAACCGAGGAGCCCTAATCAGTCAATATGCCTATGGTTACAGTCATGTTTTTAAAATTCACAGCAACAAGATTTGGAGGAAATACTCCAGAATGTGTGCCTCTGAGTGATGATAAGACTTCATCATAAGAGCCTAGCTTGCTATATTGTCTAAAATAAGTCCGTGTTACTTTTATGATTAGAAAATTATGTATATATATATATATATTTCTTTATTTTCCCAATTCCCAAGAATCATGGTGATAGACCTGGAGGATTCCAGGAGGTCCTACTCTGTCCAACCATCTTAGTTGAGGGTGAAGAAGGGCGAGGTTAGGCAGTGAAATCCCTCATCCAGATTCACAGCGCTCCATCACAGCACCGTGCCTCAGGTTTCCTGCTGCCCAGGACGGTATTTTCTCCGCCAGGGGTCTTTGGCCAGGTACTATGCTTTTTACCCTGAAATGCTACATTTCAGTTTTTTGTTTGTTTGTTTGTTTTTAAATGATGACTTCTCTCACTCAGAGGGAAAAAAGCTTCCTTTTAGGGGTCGGTCCCAGTGAGGTGCGTGTGGCTGTCATACTGCGTGTTGGGCAAATCTCTGAGGCAGCTGTCCAGACCTGGTGAGACCGCAGCGCTGCAGCTGAAGGAGGATGTCTGCCCTGAGCACAGCGCAGGGGGAGAGGAGCGGAGTAAAGTTCTGTTCTAGCGCTTCCCCAGGTGCCCAGCAAAGCTGCCTTAATGAGAGGAGGGAAAGGGCTGGGAAGTGGGGGATCATTTGTCTCACATTCGGCTCCAGCCTGCGGTTTACGTTATCAGAAGTTCTGTTTTGTATAATGTTGGCATCATAAGGGCATAAAGAGTGGCTGTATCAATTCCACTTTGCTTTTTTGTTACCTTTGTTTGAAATTTCACTGCACTTTTTTTTTTTTCTTTTTGGCTAGCTGGGGGCCCAAAGGGCTGCCTGTCCCTAGGCAGGGGTGTTAGCTGACGGATTCATCCTCAGCGTACCTGGGCAACCCTGAGGCCTGAAGGAAGCGCTGGTGCAGGGCGGTCTACTTCTGGGCTGGACCATGATGTGGCTCGAATTCCTGAGGAAATCTCACCGAGCTGCTGATTTGCTTGCATCTTGGAGCGCCTGCACCACTCCTACCTAGTTTCAAGAAAACTCCTGAAATGATCCAGGGGCCCACCTGCATGGTACACAGCCCTGCCCGAGGGTCCATAAACCAACCAGACGGGGAGGAGGTGCTAACCATCCAAAGAGCATCACAGGGACGAGCCACAAACTGTCACGGAGAATCCGGGGAGGGGGAGATGAAGCTGTTGCAAGAAGATGGAGCCCAGGAGCGCAGAGGCGTTCCCCATCCCCCATGGAAAACAAACCTGTTACTTGCCCCTGCTTCTCCTCCAGTCCCCACTTCTGTGGCCCAGCCGCTGGTAACCCCCACGGGGGCAACTGCAACGAGTCTCACCTCCCTGCGCCCAGCACTCCGAGGGCCCCTGCTGTCCTTGGGTGAGGTTGGGGAGCGGGCACGTTCATCCGGTTTTGGGCAGAGGCACTTCCTCTGAGAGGCCCTCTGGGGGTCCCGCGGGCTGGAGGCGCACCGCTCTGGAGTCAGGGCTGGAGCGATCTTAAATATTTGCTAAGCGGATCATAAACGTGACCTCACCACGGACCCAGCTGCCAGCGTCTCAAAATGCAGGGAAAGCTGACGAGATGAGTCAAATGGAACTGGAAACTTCGTTTTCCACTAACTTAGATATTTCTAAGGAGGATTCCAGGACTCAGATTTTTCTGAGAACTCGGTCCTGTATCCGTGTGCCAATCACCTGTGAAGTGTGTAGAACTTAGGTTGGAATGAGACCAGAGGGAGATAAAAGGGATTTTCTGACTCTGCAAGTGGTTAAACTCTGAATGATTTAATGATTTTTTTTTTTCACCTCTACAAATCGAAAGTGGAAGAAATTCTCTTCTATCTGGACAGTTTTCTTAGGTGTTCCAGGCTGCACAAAGGGTAGAAATCACTAATCTTGTAAAGGCTTTTGCAACCCTGAATTCTTAAGACCCTGCTCTTACATAATGTACTTTCTTTTTTTGCTTGTGTTGAATGTAAGCATTTGTTTTACGTGGCAGCCAAACGCTACACAGAGCACAGCATGTAGGTTTCCTCTTGCAGATCAGGTCCCATGAATTGCTAGGAGCCGCCGGGAGTGCTGTGTTGACAAGCACTCTGAGGGCCCCAGAACGAGTGGTCAGCAACGTCTGCCACGGAAGGGAAGTGGGGGATGGGGGCTCTCAAGCCCCATATTTGACATCCCTGCATTAAATCAAAGGACACCTTTCAGACCTCTACACCCACGGCTAAGTTCTTAGGATTCTGGAAAATGGACTATTAACAGGTGTAGAAGATGAGAATTCATTATCAGTGGTTTCTGCCAAAGAACGGATGATGTAGCTGCCTCAGAGACAAGTTGGTTATTTACTAATTGATGCCTCCTCTGAACTTCCTGTGACCAGCAGAAAGTAGGGGTTCGTGCTCTCTACTGTGCTTTGGCACCCAGCCTCCCTGGGAGCGGTCTCCTAGCCTTGCCTTCTCGGATCCATCCTCCGCAAGGCGGATGGACTGACCGTTCTGTCTTAACTCCTGGCTGTGTCTACCTCCCTCCCATCCACCACAAGACAGTTACTTGGTTCTGCATAAGGTTCATCTTGATCTGGTCCATGCTTCCCTCTCCATCCCCATCTCTTGTCCCTCGTTTCCTTGGCACCTTATGTCCTAGCCAAGCCGAGTTCTCTGTTCCGCCTGACCTTTTTCACTTGGGGCTCCTTCTGTGTGGGGTGCCCTGCTCCCCTCCCATCACTCCCTCTTTGAGGCTTAGCTTAGTTGTCCTCCGGTGGCCTTCCTCGATGCTTTTCCTTTCCCCTCAGACTGGTTAAAGGGCCGCTGGAACTCGCTCTGTGCTCACGTTGTCCCCATACCGTGATCAGAGGCTTGTCTATCGCCCCTACTAAACCCTGAAGCTCTAGGAGGCAAGAACTGTATCTACAATCCATATCTAAACCACTAGGGCAATGGATAGCCCACAGGAGGGGCTTCATACATGCTTATTAGATGAGTGGATGGAGGGGGACTGGGTAGTTTTCCCAAATTCATGAAATAAATGGTGATTCACCAGGGATTATCACTTGTGATTGTTAGGTTGATGCGACCCATTTCCCCACAGTCTCTTCACTGTGGCACCAAACTACCTGCTCTCCCGGCCCCGTCTGCTGCTTTTCTCAGTAACAGTTACCGTAAGAAATCCAAGTGCCAATTATGACCTGTGTAAAAGTCTAGAAATTCAGAGTCACTGAATCTTAGACCTAGAAGAGACCTTTTGGGTCATCCTGTTCAGCTGAGGTCTAGAAGGCAGAACCTATGTTTCGTCCATGTCTCCCCCCGCTCCTGCCCCCCGCCCTTCCTCCCTCTCTCTATTTTGGAAAAAAGAGTTGTTTTTAGCAACTATAAGGGCATCTGTGAAAACTCTGTGACCAACTTTTTGTGGTCTGCATGATGACAGATATTTAATTTTGATTTATACAAAGGTGAAACTGTGCAGCTGTATGCAGCTCTAATTCCCAGAACCCTTGACCAAAATTTCCCGTTTTTTTCTCAAAAAAAAAAAAAAGAAAAGAAAAAGAAAAGGTAACTGGCTCATTTTGGAGGAGGGGAGCGAGATGTTTCACCTTACGTAGCTGTGTTTTTGTCTCATAGTAGGCAATCGCAGGGATGGACGCTCGGTAGTAGGCTTCAAGGCGCTTGGCGATGGCGGCGGCGTCTTCCGCGCAAGGGCTGTTCTGGCTCCGCTGGAGAAGGCGATTAGTCATGGTGTCTGCTGAGCAGTCCATACAGATCACCAAGTGCGGGTCTCCAACCTGGGGGTGGGGGAGCACAACATGGTCAGAAATTCCACTCTGTGATATTCTGGAAAGACCTCTAGTTCTTTCCTTTCCTGGCCTTCTGGTTCCTCTCAAGGCCCCCCAGCCACACCGTGGCCGAGTTGAGACTGGACTTCATTGCTCCTCTTTTCCATGTGCTGCCTCAGAGCTGTCTCTTGCCCTCAGCTTTTGTCACCTCACAAAATGTAGGGATCATATAGTATGCTACCTACTGCAGTCAATCTGTCCTCCATACTGAGGGCACATCTGTGTGTGTATGCATATGGGTGTTTCCTCTGGGAAGCCTTCCCTGACGAGAAGAGCTAATTACTTCCTTCTTGGTACCCAGTTCTATCCTATGCGACCACTCGGAGCACGGAGTGCCTGTGTCTGTTTGTTGCGGGGTCAGCAGAGCGTAAGGGTTGAAGGCACAAAGGTTGGAGTCAGGCTGCTGAAGGTGTGGTGACGTTCTCTAAGGTGGTCTTCATCAGTTCCTTGCCTTGGTGTACTTGAAGCTCTTCCTCCACTGAGACACAGAGCTCAGAACTCTACCTCCTCGAAACTGAGCTGATCCGTAACCACTTGGACCAAGGGAATATAATGGAAATGAGGCCGTATGCTTTTAGATCATGAGAAATTTTGCAGTTTGGGCCTGATCAACTATCATCTAAGATGTCCAACTATTCTGACCGCTAAGCTGTGAGGAAGCCCAGGCTCGCCACTCAGAGAGGCCGTGCAAACAGAGATGCCTGGCTAGCTCTTGACTGTTTTAGACATCCCAGCCCTGGCGCCAGATATGTCCCTAGCCTTAGCCACTATCTGACTGTACAAAGTCAACTGTACGAAGGACCTCAAGTGAGAACGAGCCAGCCAAGCCCATCAAACCCCAGAGCCCCATTAGAGAAAATAACAAATTGTAATTTTAAGCTATCTGACTCCATCATTAACTGAAAGTATCACTCAACTTCTCTGCACCCCAATTTCCTTTCTTTTCTTTTTTTTTTTAAAGTAGGCTTCACGCCCAATGTGGGGCTTGAACTCACAACCCTGAAATTGAGTCACATGCTCTACCGACTGAGCCAGTCGGTGCCCCTCATTTTCTCATTTGTACAATGAGGATGATCACAGATTGCTGTAAGGGGTAAGTAAAATTAAATAAAATAATGTAAGTATGATGTTTGGCATATGGTACTTAATAAGTGTTAGCTATTAGGCTACAATCTCTTTGTGTAGGGTTATGAATGCTTGACTCCTGGTCCCAAGTCTTGCAGATAGTAGCTGGGTGATTAAGAAATGTTTCAGTGAATAAATGATGATGATACGATCAGCAGCAGGAATCTCCCAATCTTTCTCTGAAACGTTCTTTGGCTCCTAATGTCTGTGTGTCTGTGTCGCCTCCCCTACCACAACCACCAAGAAACTTGCTCCCTCTCGTCCGTCATCTTGCAGTGGTCAGGCTGTGAGTAAATGAAGGCTTGCCGCCCCACTCTGGAAAGTGCCTGGGAGGGATGGGAACAAAATTGGGGGGGAGGAGGACTTTTAGGCACCACGGAACAGTAAGTTGCTAGTAAGGGTTGATCAAACATTTATCTACCCCCTCTACAGGATGTACTTGAAGGAACAGGGTGAGAAAACGCTCCAAAATCTAGAAGAGTGAAACCTCTGGTCTATGTCATGCACCTTTTCTGCCTGTATTAACTGGAAAACAAAAATGAGGGTTTGAGCAGCATGAAAGGCTGGGTGTAGAAGGAAATGACTCGTGTCTACCAGCAGAGGGCGAGCTTGGGAGGCAGCCTGGGGTTCGGTTAGAGTTAGGTTCCCTGGAGCAGTTTCCGGTGGGGTCTGCATGAGAAGACAAGGTGATTTTTCTAATTGTGGGAGTTTGGGGGCCACTCCTGAAGACAGGAAAGATAATTCCGGGACTCATTCAGGGGCACACAGAGATAATGGGTAGCTGAGCTGGAGCTGGCGTCAAAATGAATGCAGAACTGAGGGGTAGTTTTGGCTTCCGCACGGATTCCCCAAGCGTGGCCCACAGACCAGGGGCACAGGCATCATTTGGGGGCGGGTGAGAAAGGCAGTCGCAGGCACCATCCCTGACCCCGCTGAATCAGTCCCTCACTTTAGGAAAATCTCCAGGCCAATGCTTCACAAAATAACAGTTTGAAAAGCTGCTCTACCAAGCCATTTCCAAGACAATGGGGTTTGACCGCACCCTCCTCCCACGCTCCCTTCCTACGTAAAACGCTGTAGAGCCTTCATTCCATTTGGAAGCGGCCTGTACCACTAATGGTTTTAGTACCTAGAAGTTTCTGAAATGTTTGAATGAAATACTATTTAACCATTTTCCAAAGCACTATGATCTACATCTATCTTCAGAAAGTCCTCTGGAGTAGTTCTCTGTGTCCCAGCTCTGCCTCTTTTGCACGAGACTGGTTTACCATGAACACCACGTGACCGGAAGAGCACTCTGCCCTTGTCTGAATGACTCACAGAGACTTGGGGACACATCCGCCCCCAGCAGTCACCCTGCTGGTATCCCTGGAATTCTGACACAGCAGAGTTGGGTTCTTCACAGGCTTTGGGTATTAGAGCACGAGGGTCCTGTAGGGGCGGTTGGCATCCTGCAAGCAAACAACGTTTCAATAGCTAAGGCTTTACCTACAGCCATCCCTTTAGCCCGTTTAGCCCTTTTCCTGCCCGGAAGTATCATCTCTCTTCTGAGTAAGAGGAAATGGAGGCTCAGGGAGGTTAACTTGCCCAAAGCCACCGAGGACTGTTAATGACAGTCCTGAGTCAGCTGTGTGTGGCTCCAAAGCCTGGTGACTTCACCCTCGTGGACTTCTCCTTCAGGACGGGGCTCAGGCCAGATGCCTGGTGGGCCAAACAGGGCCAGGAGAGGAGGGCAAGACAGTGGGAAAGGAAGCGGGTGGTGTGAGAGACCATTATATTTTGCGGAAGCTGGCTCTCGCTGCATCTTGGGATCCAGTTGGGATGAGCGCTCATCCCAGCTGAGAGCAGCCACCAGGATGAGAATGTCAGCTTCAGCTGCCTTGGGATAATGACTTTGCCTGATCCCAGCAGGTGGGACGGGAGGGGGAGTTTACCCTGCTATCCTCTGACCCACACTTTAGTTTTGTTCTGATTAAGTCAGGACACTGGTTGGGCCATATTTACCAGTGGGCAGGGGCATGCCACCCAGAAACTCTCTTTTGTTGGGAGAAATAGCTGTCTTGTTCTCTCTGAGTGCATTTTCCTCATTTTAAAATGAGGATAATAATAGTTTCTACCTCAATAGGACAAATTGCCAGGATGAATGAGTTAATAGATGTCAAGTGCCTGGCCCATTTTAAGCACTACATAAATGTGAGCCTGGCAATATATTCATCCCTTTTAATTGTAAAAGCCCCCGTTGGTCAGATTTGGGTTTAGAAAGAGTCAGAGGCCCCACCCATGCTTTTCGCCTAAGTTACATGCTCCAGCATATTTCCTGGCTTCACCGCGCTGGGAGGTAAGGGCCCTTGGTTAACAAGAAAGTGGCATGCCTATTTTCCATTTGCTCTCACCTCAGAGGTACCTCCCCTTAAGGAACCTCCCTAGAGGAGGGGTATCTGGGTCATTCCAGCATTTTTGAACACACAACCCTAATAATAATAATACCATCCCGCTGCTACCATTCTATCATTACACAGCTCAAAGTTCTATAACGAACTGGAAGTCAGATGAGGAGGGCAGAAAATTGCAAGTGGGGAATCCCAAGGTGGTCCCCAAGGCTCCTCACAATTCCAAGCAACTAGAACACACCAACTAGAAAGTCCTTTGGCCAGATTCATAACCCCCCCCCTTTTATTTTTTTGGGGGAAGAACTCATTCTGAAAATGAGAATCACTTATCCTGTAGATGGAAGTGTTATGAGGTAGTTAAGAGTCATCATCAGGCAGAGGGATAGTAATGTCATCCTGCACACACCCAGGAAAATGATCTGCATATTCAGGCGAAGGGCACAATTTCAGCTAAGAGGCTCCTGGGAGGGAAAAGCCAAGAGCAAGCACATGCATTTTATTTCTGTTAATATCTGTTTAGTTTGGCTGTTGTTGAGCACAAGATTGGGTTAATGTAGGAAAGCACTTCAATTTCACACTGGAGAGCCAGGCTAAGCACATAGCCCTCTTGGAGACGATAATAACTCTACAGAGTGGAAACAATAGTATCTGTTGAATAGGATTATAAAGATTAATAAAATGACATATGTAAAGCATCTAGTTCAATTCCTGGCATATTTTGAGTGCTCAGAAAATAACAGCTATTACTCTATTAGTTATGTATTCCGTATGATATTATCTGTATACAAATGGGTAGAACTCAGACTGGAAGAACAGACATGACAAGGTTAATAGGAGTTACCTCTGGGTGATTAGTCTTTGTTTTATACTTTTCTGTATTGTCTCAGAGGTATACAGTTTTTATTTCTGCAGTCAGAAAAATACGTCATTCTGGAAAAGACTAACAATTTATTGAACACCATATGTAGGCTTATGAATGTGTCAGGTACTCTTCAAGGACCCCATCCAATCTTCCCAAGAGGCGTGGCTGTAGCCATTTTCAATTTATGTTTTACAGAAGAGGAAATTGAGATAAAGTTAAGTGACTTGCCAGTGAGTTGTGCAGCAGAGCTCCGAATACAGGCCTGTTAGGACCTGGACACTGTGCCCAGCAGTTCTCAACTGGAGTAGACGATGGAGTTGATGGTCAGAAACCCCAACTCCTTCTTCATATTCCTTCTGCCCCTGTCACGCACACGTCGACACACCTGTGCGGGCACGTGCACACACACACACACACACACACTCACACACACTGACACCCCCCGCTCCTCCCCATATACCATGTTGGATACTGAAGGCACAGATCATGAATTCAGTGGGGCCAAAACCAGCGTTGGGAATAGAAGATAGGACAGTAGTAGGGAAATCGCACACAGATACACCCTTAAGTGG